CTTGAAGCTAAAATAATCGTCGATCACCAGACTGGTAAGATCCAGTTTCGAACTCCTCCGATCCCCAGCTTGATAAGACCCAGCTACCAATTCCGGCGATTGTTCTCTGTCATCATCATTTTCCTCCTTGAAGGCAAAATAGCCGTCGATCACAAGACTGGTAAGATCCAGTTTCGAACATCTATGATCACCAGATTGATAAGCTCCAGTTTCCAACTCCGGCGACCATTTCTTTTGATCACCTTCTTCTTTCTTCAGTTTATTGTCATCGTCATCTTCTTTCTTGAATCCTTCAGTCTGGCTCGCCGGATCACCATTTTTACTTCTTTCATTGTACTCTGCCATCCGAATATTTTCAGCGACTGCAACTACAACCCATTCTTCATCACTAACCTCGGCCATTATTGGAGAAAAAGGATATCAGAAGAGGAATATGTTTCAAGTCTTGTTTTAATAGTGGAGCAGTATTTGGCGCCAAAGCAAGATTCTATCTTGCATTGCCGTTATTTTAGTTAATTTTTCTTAACTACCGGTGTGGGATGTGCATATATATAAACACCAACATATACATATACGTTGAAGTATATAAAATATAATTTTTATTAATTATATATATAGTGGAGCAGGGAAGAGCAAGTAATTTTATTAGATTTATATTTGTACCCCATCCGTTTCTGGTTTATAATATTTTTTTTGGTTCTAAACAAGATCGATATATTCAGTAAAAATACGTAATCAAACGTCACCTAGAGATAATTTTATAATTACTCAACCGTCGAATTAATAAATATTCTTAATATCTAAATAGAAAAAATTATTTAGATTACATGCTATAAATATGAAATTCTTTACCTTAACTGTTTAACTTCAGCAAGAAAAGTAAATTTCAATCTACAAGTATTACATGCATGACCATTTTTAGCATTAGACTCGATAGACATAAATGAACCAACATAAAAAGGAAAGAGAGAAAAAAGAAGACCCTCCTAATCACAACAATTTTCTTCGTTATTATTTTTTTAATAACTTTTCATACATTATTACTTCTCAGCAAAAGTAAAATAAAATCATTCTTCAAACTTCAATAAACGATAACATCACAAACATTGAAAGAAAATAGCTCAAAAGATCAAGCTTCCATCAAGTGCAAGGTCTACGAATACCTCCTAATACCCATAAAAAAAATTAGTCATCCATCAATTATTGAGGATCAGAAAATAGAACACAAGAGAGATGAAGATAGCATAAACCAAGAGTAACATGATGATTAGGAACTTGCCGAATATTATTCACATCTTACAATTAAAATACCAATGAACCAATCAATGAAATTTAACCATACCAATCAATACGGATGAAAGAAAGAAAAAAAAAAAAAACGTAATATCTAAACTATCTAAATATTTTGCAAGCAAATTTTTAACATAAATTGAAACCTAAGAGGGAAGGTACTAGAAATTGCACCACCAAATAGAGGCCTCTTTGAATAGAAATCTTCGAACATTTTTACAATTAATAATAACTTTCTATTCACAAATAAATCACTTGAAATATCAAAAGCAGTAATCGTAACCCAAATGAAGCTATAAATTGAATTAACTGGATATGAAAAAATTGAACATAAGTAAAATAAAAAACTTTGAAATAACCTAATCAGGCATACGTAATCAATGGCATAAAGAAGTGTACCCGAACCAAGTGAAAGTTGAGAGAGTAAGAGAGAAGTAGAAGTTTTTGAAAAAACTATTTATATTTATATTTCTAACAAAAATATTACTTATAAAAAAATTTCACTAAACAATAGTTTATTTAAAAAACAACTACGACATCAAGAAAAATTAATAAATTTAAAAACAAACGCCACCCAAAAACCACTAGAGGGGTTTCAAGTCAGGCTGCCTTTGCTTCCTAGACTACTTGTTTCTTTCATTTTCATCAAAAAATTCAACCCCTTATTTTTAATTTTGGTGAATCCTTCCATTTTCCCCCATAAAAACAATATCAACAACTCAACAATTGTTGATACTACCCAAAAATAAGGGACAAAAAGTAGAACAAAAGAGAGAAAAATTTGACAGATTAATTTTTTTTTTAAAGAAGTACAAGTTAAATAATGAAAAATCAGATATTATTTGAGAGTCTGTAATAGAAATTGATAAAAAATTTTGCTGCATTTGCTTCCTTGATTATCTTTTTCTTTCTTTTCATCCAAAAAATCCATTTTCCTATTTTTAATTTTTGTGAATCCTTCTCTTTTTTTCAGGATATGTTAAACTAAATAAATTTGAATACATAATTATCACTCAAATTATACTGTTAAAAATTACTACAAAAAAATTTTCATGTGTACTAATATATTTTATTTAAAATGTTTAAAACATTATCTAATTCTAAAATATACAAACACGATTTTTTTTGTGTGGTTCAAGACAAACTAATGTCACGAAAAGACTTCTAACTACTACTTACTTCACAAAGATTCGCTTGTCTACAACAATTAAAATATCTGTACTAATTATTTTCTGTCGTAGATTTACAAAATAAACCTGCAAGATTAGTTAATAAATTTCTTTTAACAATTCAAAACAACTTGGTGATGCAGAAGAAAACACAAACAGATACTGCCTAGAGATTTTATGCTTATCTGTTTTGTCTTCATTTGGAAATAGCCTGTTAAAGTAAACAGTAAGAAAAAATCAATCAAAGAGGAGAGAAAATATCAGAATATGTTATCTAACCATTCTCCCATTTCTTCGTACATGTATAGAGTATATATCAGAAAGAGAAAAAGTATTCTAATCGTGTGGTCTAATACTAGAAGATAACAAAAGTCACACTGGTTTGCATTCTAAAACATGATGTCCCCGTTTTTTACATTTAAATGTTACCCTACATCCTTCAGCACCTTGTTCAACAGCAAGGTCTTGAAGAAACCAGGTGGCACTTCCATTATTGTGCAATTAATGGATCTCCTCTTGGGTTAGCGAATAAACTAAGGTCCAAATCTAAATGCACAATTAAACTTGTTTCCTACATTTTTCCTAAACTCATATTAATTTCTAACACGTAAATTAACTAATCAGTATTCCAACAACCTAAAACGCAAGATTTATGTGCTTACCGCAGATCAAAGCTTTGGGTTTCCCAAAACACCCAATTGGTTTGTTGTATGGAGGGTGAATCGATTCAGTTCAAGACCACAAATAAAACTGATTAGGACCGATCGGTTCAAGCATAAAAAAGGAGAGAAAAATCGTTAACGCAAGCAGCAGATGGGTGCCGCCGCAGACAATATCATCAGTCTGGTTCTGTTCTCCGCTTCCCCGACCCACACTCACCCATCTGCGGTGGCACCAGTACCAATCGCGCATTGGAGGCACTTGACCTCGCCACCACAAGCTCATGCGGTCGGAACCACATCCAACCTTCCCAAGTCATACATACACGCATCAACGACCCGCACTTGGATTTCGCACGCACACCACCGGCTTTGAAATTTCACAAAAGTCTGTTCCCACACTCGCATGCGACATTGATAGTGCGCATGCGACACCTTCTTCATCCTCTGGTCGCAGCTCAAGTCGCTCACTCTTCTCCTCTCCTTGGCTTGCGGTTTTCGCCGCAAATATTCCTTCTCATGGAGATCGACATCATACGATCTACCTCTACCCGCTTCCCCTTCGATCTCGTTAGGCTTCCCTTCCAGCCGAAATCGCTACTATGCGATCTTAGCCATCCCCTTTCACAGGCAAGATTGCCACTGCACAATCACACAGTTTTGTGGGAAACCATCGATTTTACAGTTTCCTACAAGTCCATTTCCACACTCGCATGCGATAACGACAACTACAGTGCACATGCAATACCTTCTTTTTTCGATCGCGGATCAAGCCGCTCGTCTCTCCCACGTTCGCAGCCAAGCTGCTCACTCTTCTCCTCTCCTTGGCTTGCAGTTTTCACTGCAAGCCTTCCTTTTCTCATGGAGATCGCCATCGTGCGATCTCATTCGGCTTCCCTTCTTCTCGAGATCGCCACCATACGATCTTCGCCATCCCCTCTGCCGGGTGAGATCGCCAACTTGCGGCCTCACCTCTCACAAATGACAGGAAGAGTCCTTATTATCGGGCTCCTTAAATCGGCCACTCCACAGCCGTCGAATCTCCACCGCAAGATCTTTCTGCTTGTCCAAGAGAACTTTTGTCTTTTCATATCCGAAAGTGAATCTCGACCGCCCAATCGTGATTCCTTAAATCGTGATTGTTGGATCAAAGTTTTCATTAAGAAGAACTGAAAGAGAAAGAATAGAGAGGGAGCAAAAAGCTCTTTTACTTGGTAAAATTGCTGGCAATAAAATGCTTTTAAAGTAGAACAAAAAGACAAAGTTCAAAAGTCAAACTAATATAACAGAAAATTAACCAAGCACCGGCACAAAAAGAGAGAGATTCTGCCACCTTGACAAAGAAGAAAACTGTCAGAGATGGGAAATTGGAAAATAATTGTACCCAAGATTCATACACATCCAAGGATCCTGCTATAGCACAAATTTAAACCAAACATCAAAATGCAGAAAAGTAAAGATTCCAATATGTAACTAGAATTGTTAGAGAAAGAAATTTGGAGCATATCTACTAGCCATCACACAATTTTATAGTACACAACATTTTTCATAAACACACACCAAAAGGCTTGCCTTACAGACAGTAGCAAACAAACGTTTTAGCCACACCAGATGCATAACCTAAGCTAAAAAGCCTGGCAGGACAAAAATCTTGAGATATACCTAAGACAACCAAAATGTTCCAAATTTCAAAGCTGGTAATAAGCACATATTGGAAAATAAATCGTCACCCAAAAAGTTTTTCACAAACAAGAAAGAAAATACCAATAATAATGAAAATATAACTAATATAGAGCATAGCAGAATACCCAAGCGCAAAATTCTAGCAACACAAGAAATTTTTTAGACGGAATAACTTGGAGATACCATTTGGCCACAGAAGTTGTAATAACAGCAGGGATATCTCTGTAAAATAATCAAGGGCCCGCAATTACTCCAGTCAGCTCAATCAAATGAAATGCAGTACACGGTCAATTACAGTCCATTTACGTCAAAGAAACAACTGAAGCAAATATCATAATAACACATCTAACCATTCTCCCCTTTTTTTGTGATTGCATAGGGCATATATCAGAAAGAAAAAAAATTCAAATTATTGACAAACAATGCGGGAAAGTATTCTAATTGTGTGGGCTGCATTCTAAAACATGATGTCCTCATTCTTGGTATTTAAATATTACCCTCCATCCTTCACCACCTTGCTCAGTTGCAAGGTCTTGAAGAAACCAGGTGGCACTTCCATTATCCCCAAAACATCATGCCTGAGATCCAAAACGCTTAAAAGATCAAGCTTTCATCACATGCAGGGGTCCACGACACCACCTAAGCAAAATGAAAATTTTTGAAATAACCTAATCAGGCATACGTAATCCGTGGCAGAAAGAAGTGTACCTAGACCAAGCGAAAGTGGAAAGAGTAAGAGAGAAGTAGAAGCTTCTGAAAGTTTTGCGCTTTTATAGACAAGCTGAGGTGCATCTTTGTGACGTCACCTATGCTTGATAAAAAATTTGATAATTGAAAATTAAATATGAATAAAATATGATAAAAAAAATAATTTATATTTATATTTTTAACAAGAATATTATTTAAAAGAAAATTTTTCATAATAATTTTTTTAAGAAAAAACTACGACATCAATAATAACAAATCAAATATTATTTTAAAATTTTATAATATAAATTGATAAAAAAAAATTAATAATTTTTTTTTAAAAAAGAAAGGAAGTTTTTAAAAGTAAATACCATAAATGACCATCTATCAAACACCATCCAAAAACCACAAGAGGGGGTCAGGTTGGGCTGCCTTTGCTTCCTTGACTGCCTGTTTCTTTCCTTTTCATCAAAAAATTCATCCCCCTATTTTTAATTTTTGTGAATCCTTCAATTTTTTTCCATAAAAAAAAAATCAACTATTAATAAGTACCCAAAAAATAGAATAAAAGAGAGAGAGAGAGAGAGATTTGACAGAATAATAATTTCTTTTTAAAAATAAACTACGCCGTCAATAATAAAAATTCAAATATCATTTAAAAGTTTGTAAAAAAAATTGATAAAAAAAAGAAAAGAAGCTTTTAAAAATAAATACCATGAAAAATCACCTATCAAACGCCATCCAAATAAAACCAGAGGGGGAGATGTCTATCTGCCTTTGCTTCATTGCTTACTCGTTCCTTTCCTAAACCCAAAAAAAATTACTTCTTAAGGGACATAAATAGAACATAAGAGAAAAAAAAAATTTGACAGAATAATAATTTAAAAAAAAAACGAGAAAAATAGTAAAAAATCTGATGATATTATATGAAAATTTGCAATAGAAATTAATAAAACAAAATGAATAAATTAAAAAAAGGATAGAAGTATTTAAATGTAAATACCAAAGACGATCATCTATCAAACGTCATCCAAAAACCACTGGAAGGGAGGTCAAGTCGGGCTGCCTTTGCTTTCTTGATTACCTGTTTCTTTCTTTTCATTAAAAAAATCCAATTCTCTATTTTTACTTTTTATGAATTTTTCTGTTTTTCTCTATATATGTTAAACTAAATAAATTTTAGATACAAATGTTATCTAAATTTTACTCATTAATAACTACTTAATAAGTTTTCATGTGTATTAGCATATTTTATTTAATATATATAAAACGTTATCTAATTCTAAAATATGCAAAAACGATTCTTTTTTGTGATTCAAGACAAACTAATGCCACGAAGTGACTTCCGATTACTACTTACTTTATCAAGATTGGCTTGTGGGCAACGATTAAAACATTTGAGCCAACTGCTTTATGTCGTAGATTTGTTAAATAAATCTGCAAGATTAGTTAACAAGTTTCTTTTAACAATTCAAAACAACTTGGTGATGAAGAAGAAAGCATAAACATATACCGTCAAAAGATTTTGTGCTTCTCTGTCTTGCCTTCACTTGAAAATGGCCTGTTAAAGTAAACGGTAAGAAAAAATCAACTAAACAGGAAAGGAAATGTCATAACAACACATCTAACCATTCTCCCCATTCTTCGTGCATGCATAGAGCATATATAAGAAAAAGAATGAAATTAAAATTAGTGATAAACCATGCGGGAAAGAATTCTAATCGTGTGGCCTACTACTAGAAGATAAGATAGGTCACACTGGTCTGCATTCTAAAACATGATGTCCCTGGTCTTGGCATTTAAATGTTATCCTGCATTCTTTAGCACCTTCTGTTATCCCCAACATCATGCCTGAGATCTAAATAGTTCAAAAGATCAAGCTTTCATCACGTGCATGGTCGGCGAATACCTCATAAAATATACCCAAAAAAAATCAGTCATCCATCAATTGTTAATAAGCACCCAAAAAGAAAATTTTTTCTTGAGGGTTAGAAAATAGAACACAAGAGAGATGAAGATAGCATAAACCACGAGCAACATGATGATAAAAAACTTGCCGAATGTTACTCACATCCTACAATTAGGGCACCGATGAACCAATCAACGGAATTTAATCATATCAATAAACACGAATGAAAGAAAGAAAAAAAAAGAGCATAATATTTAAACTATGCAAACATTTTGCAAGCAAAATCTTAACCTAACCTGAAACCTAAGAGGGAAGGTACGAGAAATTACACCACCAGAGGCATCTCTAAATAGAAATTTCCGAATATTTATACAATTAATAACAACTTTCTATTCACAAATAAATAACTTGAAATATTAAAACCAATGATCTTAACCAAAACGAAATCATAAATTGAATTAATTGGATATAAAAAAATTAAACATAAGAAAAATGAAAAACTTTCAAAAAACCTAATCAGGTATATGTAATCAGTGACAGAAAGAAGTGTACCCAAACCAAACGAAAGTAGAGAGAGTAAGAGAGAAGTAGACATTTCTGAAAGTCTTGCGCTTTTATAGACGAGCTGAGGTACATCTTTGTGACGTCCACCTACGCTTCATAAAAAATTTGATATTTAAAAATAAAATATGAATATGAGAAAAGAAAAAAGCAGTTTATATTTATGTTGCTAACAAAAATATCATATAAAAGAAAATTTTTCACTGAACAATAATTTTTTTAAAAAAACTACGATATCAATAATAAAAAATTAAATACTATTTAAAAATTTATAAAATAAATTAATAAAGAAAAATAAAAGAAGGAAGCTATTAAATGTAAATACCATGGATGACTATTTATCAAATGCCATCCAATAACCACCAGAACGGGGTCAAGTCGGCCAGCCTTTGCTTCCTCGACAACTTGCTTCTTTCTTCATCAAAAAATTCATCGACCTATTTTTTATTTTGGTGATACCTTTCGTTTTTTCCCATAAAAATAAAATCAACCATTCTATAATTGTTGATAAGTATCCAAAAAAAATTCTTCTTAAGGGACAAAAAATAGAACAAAAGAGAGAAAAAATTTGACAAAATAATAATTTTATTTTTAAAAAAAAAAAGTATTACGAAATCAGTAATAAAAAATTAAATATTATTTAAAAGTTTGTAAAAGAAATTGATTAAACAAATTAATAAATTAAAAAAAGGAATGAAGCTTTTAAATGTAAACCATGGATGATCACCTATCAAGCACCATCCAGAAACAACAAGAGTAGGTCAAAGTCAGTCTGCCTTTGCTTCATTGATTACCTGTTCCTTTCCTTTTCAACAAAAAAATCATCCCCCTATTTTTTATTTCTGTGAATCCTTCTGTTTTCAATCATTCAACAATTGTTGATAAATAAAAAATTTGACAAAATAATAATTTTTTTTTAAAAAAAAGAACTACGAAATTAATAATAAAACATTAGATATTATTAGAAAGTTTACAATAGAAATTAATTAAAAAAATTAAATAATTAAAAAAAAAACTTTTAAATGTAAATACCTTATATGATAATCTATCAAACGCCATCCAAAAGCTACAAGAGGGGATCAACTCGGGCTGCGCCTTTCCTTTTTCATCAAAAAAGTTCATCACCCTATTTTTCATTTTGGGGAATCCTTCTGTTTTCCCCCATAAGCACAAAATCAATCATTAAATAATTGTTGATAAGAAAAGAAAAACTCTTTTTAAGGGACAGTAAATAGAAGATAAGAGAGATATAGAATTTTAAAAGAATAAAATTTCTTTCCTCAAAACAAAAAAAACTACGAGGTCAATAATGAGAAATCAGATTTTGTTTAAAAGTTTGCAATAGAAATTAATAAAAAAAAAAAATAAATTAAAAAAAATAAAAGAAGCTTTTAAATATAAATACCATGTATGATTATCTATCGCCATCCAAAAACCATCAGAGGGGAGGGTCAAGACGGGCTGTCTTTGCTTCCTTGATTACCTTTTTCATTCTTTTCATCCAAAAAATCAAAGTCCTTATTTTTAATTTTTGTGAATCCTTCTCTTTTCCCCTCTATATGTTAAACTAAATAAATTTTGGATATATAATTATCATTTAAATTATACTGTTAAAAATTACTTAAAAAGTTTTCATGTGTACTAACATATTTTATTTAAAATGTTTAAAACACTATCTAATACTAAAATTTGCAAACACAATTCTTTTTTTGTGGTTCAAGACAAACTAATGTCACGAAAAAACTTCTGAGTACTACTTACTTTACCAAGATTCGCTAGTGAGCAACTATTAAAATATCTGTACCAACTGTTTTCTGTCGTACATTTGCAAAATAAACCTACAAACTTAGTTAACAAGTTTCTTTTAACAATTCAAAATAACTTGGTGAGGAAAAAAAAAGCATAAACAGATAGTCAAGAGATTTTGTGCTTATCTGTCTTGCCTTCCTTTAAAAATGGCATGTTAAAGTAAACGATAAGAAAAAATCAACCAAAGAGAAGAGGAAATATCAGAACAACATATCTAACGGCCTGTTAAAGTAAACGGTAAGAAAAAATCAACCAAAGAGGAGAGGAAATATCAGAACAACATATCTAACCCTCCTCCCTTTTCTTCGTACATGCATAGAGAATATATCAGAAAGAGCAAAAGAATTCAAATAAGTGATAAACAATACAGGAAAGTGTTTTAATCGTGTGACCTAGTACTAGAAGATAAGATAAGTCACACTAGTCTGCATTCTAAAACATGATGCCTCTTGTTCTTGACATTTAAATGTTACCCTACATCCTTCAGCACCTTGTTCAGCGGCAAGGTCTCAAAGAAACGAAGTGGCACTTCCATTATCGTGCAATTAATGGATATCATCTTGGGTTAGTGAACAAACTAAGGTTCAGATCTAAATGCACAACTAAACTTGTTTCCTACATTTTTCCTAGACTCATATTAATCTCTAAAACTTAAATCAACTAGTCACCACATATCTACGTTAAATCGATATTCCAGCAACCTAAAACACAAGATTTATGTGCTTACTGTGGGTTGGAGCTTTAAGTTTCCCGAAACACCCAATTGGTTTGCCGTGTGGAGGGTGAACCAATTCGATTTAAGACAACAAACAAAATCGGTTAGGACTGGTTAGTTCAAGCAAAAAAAGGGAGAGAAAAATCGTTACCGCAAGCGGCAGCGGGAGGCTTGGGTAGTGGTGTTCACTCAACCTCGCCACCGGTCTAGTTCGGTTCTCCGCTTCCCCGATCCACACTCACCCATCTGCAGCGGTGCTAGCACAAATACTACATCAGAGGCATTTGACCTCACCACCACACGCTCATGTGGTCGGAACCGCATCCCAACCTTCCCAAGTCGTACACTCAGCCATGATCAAAGCCGCTCAGCCTCACCCCTCACTCAGATTTCGCACGCACACCGCCCCACACTCGCAAGCGGCAACGACAATGTGCATGCAACACCTTCTTCATCCTTCGGTAGCGGCTCAAGCTGCTCCCGTCTCCCTCGTTCGCAGCCAAGCCGCTCACTCTTCTCCTCTCCTTGGCTTGCGATTTCTCCCGCAAGTAGTCCTCTTCTCATGGAAATCGACACCGTGCGATCTACCTCTACCCACTTCCCCTTCAATCTCGTTAGGCTTACCTTCCGGTCGAGATCACAACGATCCGATCTCGGCCATCCCCTCTCATAGGTGAGATCACCACCCTGCAATCGCGCGGTTTGGTGGGAAAAAATCGATATTGCGATTTCTAGCAAGTTGGTTTCCATACACGCACGCGGCAGCAACAGCGCACATGCGACACTTTGCTTTTTCGGTCGCGAATCAAGCTGCTCGTCTCTTCCTCGTTCGCAGCCAAGCCGCTCACTCTTCTCCTCTCCTTGGCTTGCGGTTTTCACTGCAAGCCTTCCTTTTCTCATGGAGATCGCCCATCGTGCGATCTCATTCGAC